TCACTTTATTTTAACACGATCAGCTCCCATAAAATGTCTTTTAGAATTTGTGATGGTAATTGGTGTAATATATTAAGCATTTCCTTATGCATTCAGTGCTTTGCATTAAATTGCAATTTGTGTCCTCTGAGGTCAAATAAGACGAGTTTATTCAGTTTATTTGCTTGCGATTAAGTCAACATCTGTGCTTATTAGGAAACTTGTTCACATTTAGTTAGGCTCTCTGAGTCTGTGTACCATATTTGTTAGTTTCAGTTCATAAAATTTAAATTGTTATAATTATTAAAACTATTAATATCTTCGGGAATTCACCTTGTTTTGAGGTTTGAGAGTTGCTGCAATCCCAAATATGATCTGCAGCAATTTAAGGAGTCATGTTGTTGAAAAGGCAGGATTGTGATGCATGACTTTATAGTATCTGGTAGTACTACATGTCAAAATGCTCTTTGCTTGCAACCCTCTGCCTGAAATATGATGAGCTTAGGTTAAAAGCCCCCAGATCCTCTCATCCTAAAATACTGAGACAGCTAAACCTTCCAATCTAGTCACAGACAAAAAAGAGACTTCAAGTGCAAGTTCTGAGCTCAAAAAGCTTGCTACTTGAGCCCACAGAGCAGCAGTCAGAAGGAAAAAACTCTAATAAGCTTGTCAAAGTGAGATATCTGTGATCGGTTTTGTTGTGACCCATTTTAATCCAAAATCACTATTCGACTTCACCAGAACAGATGAGTGAGGCTCTGTAATCTCAATACCAATTCTTCTGCCAAAAATAAAGTGGGAGAGGAGAGGGAGAATGAGGGACAAAAACATGTGAAGAGGCTGACACAAACACAGGTGTCATAATGAAAACCACAAAACCTCAATCATGGATAAAAATATTAATGTTTTTTGTTATTTTGATGGCTTGTCTAAACCATTACAGCAGAACGAAATGCTGGTTGCCAATCACCGACTCAGAATCTCAACCACTGTTGGCTGTGGGTGGACAAGCTTCTTTCCCCTGATAGCACAGGCTGCCAGAGGAGAGGAAGAATGACAGCGTGGGGGTAGAGGGGGAGAGAGAAAATCATTCAATATTGCACTAAACTACAGCTTTAGCCTATGTAGTGCATTATACTAATGCATATGATATACTTTGTCGTGTGCTATCTTGCACTACGCTGTAGTGGCAAATATGTATGGTAATAGGCAGTGGACAGAGATTTCGTTTATGTGTGGGTGGGTCTGACTGTTTCTTACATGAGAGCTCATGGTGACTTACTATTCTGTTCATACGGTTAAGAGTATACATATATCTATATAATATACATAATGCATTTGACCTCAGTTTATTAGTAAAGCCAGGCATGATTCTCTTTAATGTCAACCATAAAACCAGTATTTACTACATATATCACAACTTTTTATGTAGTCAGTACACTATTGTTTAAATATAGGTATTTTAAAATTATTCACTATGTGTAGTACAGTATAGTTTAGACTGTGATTTTAGCTCACTGGTAGGTGTTTGCTAGGCAACATGATGCATAATGAAAAAATTAGATGTTGTCGCAAAATAAAAATGATTTCCTGAGGTGGTATTTGTGTATACACATTATATTTGGGTCTTTTTAGTTTATTGGTAGGTTGCTAGGCAACAAGATCACATCATATCTCAATGTCACTGCTGTGAAATAAAAATCCTTGTATGCTTTTATAAGTCGTCGAAAGTGCATAAACTCAAAACTCAACAAGTGGATTGTTTTAGCCTGTTGGTAAGTGGTTGCTAGGCAACACGCTTGATGTTGTAGTTTCTGATATAGATGAGAACCTTCAGGGAGCCTTGCTCAACTCCTGATCATGCAGGAAGAGTTGACAAACAAACAGAGATTTCATGTATTATAAAAAGATTACTGTAAACTGTCAATAGACAATCTCTGACCATATCATGTCAATAAAGCTTTACTGAACTGAAATAAACTGGGAAATTTCCAGATGGCAGTATCTCATACAGTGGAAAAAAGGATATGCTGGTGAGGAGGGTGATAGTGCTTTCTAGAAGCCTGCTAAGACGAATACTTAATACTAAAATATGTTAAATCAGTGACATAAAGTAAAAAAGGTTCAAACCTTAACTATGCCTATATATTCCAAGTGTATCCTGATGACAGTTAATCCTAAAAACCACTCCCAGCATAGGCTGAAATGAGCTGGCATATCAGCTGCATTTTTGCTTCACTGCACTTCGGCTGCAATTTTAGACTGATTTTAAAATTTTATTGAGCACCCCTGGGGCACATCCTAAATTAGCGATATCGCTGAGGTTTTAACTTATTATATGCCACAGCTGAACCTGATGAATATTCCCGCAAAATAGACTGTGGGTGATGTGACTTTGTAGATACAGCCATGACGTCTCTTTTACTGTTTTTAAAAGAGGAATGTTAAGAATGATTCATCTTTGAGTTGAACTAGTGATAAATTATGATGATACCCTGCAATATTCATCATGGTTGTTGTCAAGCAGCACTAACATATTACCTTATCACTTGATATGGGAGCCTCTAGAGGGGACTTAAATTTGACATTCATTGTAGCTTGCAGTGCAACCAAGAAGCCCCACATTACAGAGAGGTTGGTGCTGTAAGACTTCAGCAAAGGAAAAAATAGTCACAGAATCCATCAATAAATCCAGACTGCTGGAGAACACTGAATCAGATCTAGGTGTAAAACTAAACAAGACTGTCAGTACACAAAATTATTATCTGGAATAAATGTTTAGACCACTCACAATAATCACTCAAAATCAGCAGGAACCACACAGAAACAGCTACTTACAAACTACGGATAGTGGTTTATTTTAAAATACAAATAAATAACCTCTGTGGTGTTTGTCACTAGTTTTGTCACTGGACCTGGTGTAGTGTACTGACAAGTAAATGTTAACAATGTCTATTTAGTGGCATAGACCTGATCCAGTGTGGTCAGTAAACAACACATTCTGTTGTGGCCATGCATTGTTAAAATGTGGTCACAATTTAATTATGTTCCCATGCAATTCTAACCAGTGACCACATCATAATGTTTGGCAAGGCAATATTTTTCCCCCATGTCCCAAAGGAGTTAAGCATTTTTAAGACTATTCTATCTCTTCAAGTTGACTCTAACCTTACATGCCCCAAAGAGTATCAGTGGTTTTATGAAGTTTATTTGCTCACATTTAGCTAACCTTAAAAACTGCATTTTTTTTACTAGCTTGTACTGTTACAGGGAAAAAGAAGCATGTTAAAGCAATGGAAAATAGTTCAAGTCTGAGGCGAGCTTTGACAGCAGCAATCTCTACCTCAGGGAGAAAACAGGAGAAAAGAAACAAAAGAGAAACAACGAAGAATCTGAAGGACGACAATTAAACAGTCTTGTAAAAACAGTGGAAATTTCTCCAAGCAGGAAAAACAACTGCTGTGTACGCGGTAAGAACAAAACGAGTACATTTATAGAAGAAGGGAGGATGCCATATCAGTTCTGCGACAGACTGGCGACAGAGGTGCTGGTGCTCAGAGTACTGCAGGTTTAATCCCTGTAACATTTGCAGTGGTAAAAATAAGTTGTACTGTTGCACAACTCACTGTAATCTGACAGGTGTGTAGGAGAGGAAAAACGTGGAAAAGCTCTCTCGTGCACAGTTTATTTAATTCAGCTACTTGTACACCTTAATGTGTGTCAAAGCACAGAATACTTGTCAAGGGTCTTGCTACCAAAAGTACTGTATGTACATACTTCAAAAAGTAAGTATGCACATACTTGTAACTTAAATACACACTTTTTGGTGGGGAGAGGGTGATAACAGTAAACCTACGCTGACAAAAAGTGGCTAAAATGTGATAAGTAAACATTACAATTCTATCTTCTATGTACGAACCATTCAGGATGTGAACTCTATAAGCTAAAATAAGTGTGTGAGGATTCCTTACCCATATCCCAGTATACTTTTAATCTTACCATCACACTATTTGTGGTGTTATTACTAGAGCATTATCCATGTAGGATACTTTTTGTGTCATTTTGCAGAATTTGTAGTGGTATTGTGCTGATGGACGATGTAGTCAGAGATTAATTTTAGATCTTACGATAATCATCATAGCGTATGTATATATGAAGTCTGTATGTACAGCCAACAAGTCGCTACTGACCAAGGAAGGTATGAAGCATTTTCCAGGCTCCTTCTATTCCGAGCACAATTAAGCTAGGTGACTCATATACATGTACACGTACAGTCATAAAGCCATAATTTTCCATTTTTACAGTGTTTACAATTTCTTGAAATTGATGGCGTCAACACACCAAAAGGTAACGATATTACCAACATGTTGTATTGTTGATATAATATGGTTTTCTGAGGTCTGCAAACCATTAAATTCTGTCTATATTTACATTTTGCACAGTACCAACTTTTTTGAAATTGCACTTGTAAGAATATCGTAATATCAAATGTCTACTCAAGAAATGTCCAAACACATTTTTGACATAAATACTTTTTGTTGAAAAATTGTCAACTTTTTGATTCTCCACATCAGAGAATGATGAAAGCCTACCTTCTGGAAATATGCCTTTAAATTTTTTTACATTATACTTTTTGTTTTTTCTTTAACTGTTCATACATTTAGACTAAAATTATTCAGTGAAGATTGCATGGCCTACAGTGAATTGCTTTGAGTGTGAGTGAGTGATTGTGACAGAAATACATTAGGCACTGCTGGCACTCTTGCTGCTTTCTCCTTTCATGTATGCATATACAATGTAATAATCTAAACTAGCTCTGAATCAGCAGCAAATCTGCCACTCACTTGTAAATCAAAGACAATCCTTTGGGAAAAACACTCAGTCGTGACAACATTATGTTGCACATATGATACAGAGAGAGATGCGAACTTTTAGCTGTATTAAATATCCAAACCCAAATAACACGGCTTGTAAATATTCATGAAAAGGCTGGCAGAAGTGTAACATGTGCCTTCACTTACTGTTGGTTTTGAGGCGGGCTGGCTCACTGTTGCGACTTCCTGCTTGGTTGATAGCCTTGACGAAGAAGATATAACGGGTGCCACTCTGCAAGCCGTGCACCGTGTAGTGGTTCTGCTTGATGTTAGGTACGATCATCCAGCTGTCTGCAGAGTTGTACAAGCCTGGCAGAGCCACAGAGACACACACAAGTACACACAGCATTAGTAACAAGGTTATGTTGCCGCTTTTAAGGTAAGCAGAGTTAGTGTGTCCTGCTAAGAACCTTTTTTTTCCAGTGATGTTCAAAAGAGTAAAATCTGTTCTCAATTCCGACCAGAGGAGGGTTATTTTTCCTCAAAGCCCCCAAGTGAGTCATCCCCACCCAAATAAGGAGCTCAGAGACCACACGGCTCTCCATGTTATGCAACATTTATGTCTACATACTAATCCATCCCATTACAGTACTTTTACATCAGGTTTAGCATGACAAACTCCCCTGAGGCAATATTGTGCGTTCACTAAGCTAAAACTATAAGCCATTACGAACAAAGTACTCTCAATATAAATCTCTGAAGTAAGCGCCTCAAGGCAAAAGACTGTCATTGCCTTTAATGTTCAAATGTATGGAAACACAGGCAGTAACAGCATGACCCTATTTGGTGGGCACTTTGATTTAAAGCAGCTTGCAGTATAGAGTTGGTAATGCCAGTTAAGCTGTGCAGTCAACTGCTTCTAAACACAGTCTTCTCAGTCTCTGAGATGTAGCCGACTGTGAAAGATAAAAAAAGGAAATGTTGGCTGTGAGCTAAAGAGTTGATCGCCCACAATGGGGAGCTCCTTTGGCTTTACTCTAGCGTGAAATAACTGGATTGATTTAACACATTAAAATCACTGTTATCGCACAATTACCTGACCTACCACTCTCGTGGTAATCAAGGTATGTTTCCTGATTTCAAAGATGAAATAGGCAACTTTGAACACAAGGTGAGATTTATGCAGCTGCTTTGGAGGATTTTAGGGGAGGATTGCTGATTTATGCAAAATGGATATTGCAAAACATGCCAAGTTTGGAGCTGCTGTGCTTACGCTTTATGCATGAACATTGCGTGACATGTTATATTGCGTACCTTTTCCAAAGGCTATCATACAGGACGTGGAAAAAACAGAAACCCAAAAACTGATCACTCTTTCATGGTCTTGTGAACAACACGAGTGTATTAATAACGCCGATAGCTAAAATGAAATGAATGAACTGACAGCATGAATAATAAAACCAAGATGTGCCAACTGGAGACTATACAGAAATTCTATTTTATGGGCAAACATTTTAGAGGCAGTTTATACAAAGAACTGTGAAATTACGAACACATCCAAAAAACAACGACAAAAACCCCCCAAAAGCCATTGCCAAAACCAACAAAGCATCTTGTTTAGTAGAACCACAGCTGAGCCTAACATTTGTAGAGTTGAAAGTAGAATAACCACCCTTTTCATTGTCTCATCCTTCCTCCCAAAGCAAAATTACAAGGAAATAAAAAACACGGAAAGGGAGAGAGTTCTCTGGGCCATGCTTACCTTGTCCCATCTGGTGAGGATGCATTGTGAATTATTGAGTAAGATGGAAACAGCATGCATAAGTAATGGCTGAGAGTCTGCTTGTAAATATAAATACTTCACAGGACGCAAATAAGGCCTTTAAAAGTGAGGTGCCTTTAAGAATGAATGAGGGGAGAGGACTCTTAAAGCTGGAGTGGGAGTTGGGGCTACATTTTTTACACAAGCTTTTCTAAGACAAAGAAAGCACAAGCGACACGTCTTCCTTTAATATGACAGAACCTAATTTACACCTTTACACCAGGTACACGATCCATTTTACATGCAAATGTGTTTTATTTCATCCTAGATTTGCAAATATGCATGCACTGTTAACAATGAAATCCTATTGCTGTTTCACTTGAAAAAAAAGAAAAGAAAATCAAGACTGTTGTTCTGCTGTGACAGCTGTCCTTTGTTGTCATAAAATTTATGCCACCCACCTGTCGTTTTGGCTGCATCCTGCAGAAATTAGGTAGACTACAGTGTTACGTGGGCTTTCAGAAAGAGATACATGGGAAAGATGAGAGAGAAGGACTTCACGCTGCTTTTCATTTTTAAAGCTTTTGATCTCTATAGCACCTCTCCATTTTTGCTAAATAAAATTAGGTCAGTGCGCAGCAATATGCTATTGCTACTTTTGCCAATGAAAGGAGCTTCTTGACACTAGCTTTGGAAAGCACCGTGGCTACAAAGTGTGGTGGCGGTGTGTGTGAATGAGCCATTTGGGAAAGAGAAAGCGAGGGACTACAGAGAGGAAGTAGATCAGCTTGCGTTGTGCATCCAGACATCAAGAGCTTGTGTATGTATATGTACAGTATGTCTGTGCATCTGTTTGTGTCGCCGTTTTCTCGGAAGCAGGCAGACGAGAAGGGAAGAGCAACATGAAATATCTGGGGAACGGAATAGGGTTTGTCTTTGATGATGCAATATAAAGTTAATGGTGACAGCGTGTGTCTCACTGTGTCCTTGCATGGGTATGTCTTAGTCCTCTGTTCATTTCTTATAAAACAGCCCTATACGTGTGTGTATGTGCGTGTGTGCTCATCTTACTTTACTTGTACAGGTTAATATTGTCTGACTGGCCTTCTACAGTGACTGAAATCTCATCGCCATTTACTCTTAATGTATTATATCGCTTCTAAGACTGATCTGGTGTGGATCAATCTCAGAACTGTTCCCTATTGAGATGCACAAAGCGCAATTTTTTACCCCTGCACTTTGGGCTTCCCTTGCGCCCACTGTGAATCTGCTTCTCACCTGTGATAATCATTTTAATATTTCACCACAGGCAATGTTTACGAGCACACATGAATAACAGGTGGCGGAGGGAGACAGCAGGCAGATATTGCTAGCGCGATTACCAGGCAGGCCTCCCAGAAACACAGTACAAACCGGCGACAGGAACGGGGAAAGTGGCTGATGTCATGCGGAGATGGAAGCAGAGGGAAAGAAGGAAATTACTACTCCCAAACAAAGCGGATGCTGCATTTCTTTTTAGGCAAGTGTAATTGTGGTAGATATTATTCATATCGCAAAGAAAGTGTATTAGGAAATACAGCTACTTGTTTTTGTACTCATAATTAGCTATTAATACCACTCTCCTGTACACACAGATGATAGAGCCAAGGTGTAAAAGGCTTTGCATAAAGACTAGAAAAAACTAAGCTGGCTCTATCCTAAGGTACTAACTACCTATTTTCTAAGAAGACAGATATTTATTTACACTATTAAAAAGCAAAGCAGCATTATGTGGAATATGAGGACCCACCCCAACAGGTCGCAGCAGATGGCCACCCCTCCACGAGCCTGGTTCTGCTGGACGTTTCTACCTGTTAAAAGGGAGTTTTTCATACTATTATTGGATTTTTCTCTGTATGTATTATTGTAGGGTCTAATATATATAGCACCTTGAGGTGACTGTTGTTGTGATTTGGCGCTATATAAATAAAACTGAATTGAATTATACTAAATGTATATCTGTAAAAAAGATCATTTATGGCAAATCTATTATGACCTTTTATGCTGTTTTACCCATGTTCTGTAGCCCTGAACCTTTCCTGACACTGCCCAAGCTGTACATAAGAACCGGTAATTAAATGTTTTTACGTGCGTCTGTGAGAATAAAGCAAGTAACTGTTCTGTTATTTCACAGCATGCCAACGAGTGTTGCGTGTTCTGCCTCTGGCATGCACGGCGTCACTTGAAGCATTAAGAGTTGCTGATGGGTGCTATATGTGAGAACAGGCAACGGCAATGTCCCGACTTGATTCTCTCAATATTTTCCAAGGTGTTATGACATTAGAAGGTTGTAGTATATAATGAAAAAGGATAAAATAAAATAGTGTACAACTAAGTGTGTTTAAGAGCCTCAACAGAAATGCACAGACAAGCCTCAAAATGATAATGCAGACTTTCACAGTCAAATCTGGTTGAAAATCAAGATGGAAAAACAAATATTTATGAGGAAGTAAATGTGTAACTGGATAATCCATGATGCCAGTTGGCAGATGGCACCCGCATTCGTCAACAGCACTAGACACAACAACTTTCAGAGGGCCACAGGTAGCAGCCACACACAAGATGGTATTTGGTTTCACTTGCTGATTCTATTTTCTGCCGCTTTGCTTGGATGATCCTGCAAAGGCAGGGTTCACAAGGCACCACAACCCCACTTCTCCTCCTCATGGGAAGGCCAAGTCTGAAGATGTGGCCAGGCGAGAAAAAGGAGAGAGACAGGATGGCACTCAAGTGGGAGCATTTAGCCACTTGGAAAGTTAGAGAAAAATACTATGGTAAAAACTCAAGTGGCAAACTGGGCTAAATGAATTTCTCCATTTCTCAGTTTCTCCTACGAATCTCTAAGGACTCTGTGGCAGCACACGGCTGAATATCTGAGTCACTCAGTCTATCATAGCTGAAATGTATCCTGATGTTTCAAATGGCTAGAGCACTTGAGTTGCATGGTTAGATGGAGAAATGTCAGGCCACATAGAGGAGAAGAGAGAAGAGGAGATGAAAAGATTAGAGAGGCACAGGTGTTTGTGTGTGTATTTGTGTGCGTATGTGCTTGAATGTGCACGATTATGTACATTAATCACATCCTTCTCATATCAGTAAGTGGTTTTCACCTCCCCTATGTACCCATTATCCACTCTGATTTTCACCAGTCCATCCGTTTGTTTTCTCCTTGGCAGTGGCCTTTCTTTCACTTCATTTACGTCGCGATAGCCATTCGGTTATAATGCTGATTAGAAAACAAAAGCTAGATGGAGACAAATGCATAAAATCCCATTTAGGAATATTATGTTTGTGTCATTCTACGGTATAATATATATATTTCTGCATTTAAATGTCAAAAAACTGAATACTGCTCACTTGAATACTAACATGTTTTAAATAACATTCAAACCCCCTTAAAATACACATTTATATTTAATGTAATGGTGCCTCAAATTTTAGTCATTTGCTAGTAGCATTATAACAAGTCAGTCACAGAGCTAATGATTAGAAACTAATTAGAAAATAAAACAATAAGCATAATTTCTGCCTGTGTCCCAATATGTAGATTTTTACTGGCAATAGTGTCATAATTTATCACTGCATCATTTTACTGCCATGCTGTCTTTTGCTATAAAGACATTTGAATATGTGCACTTAAATTGCCCAATAATGTTATGAAGGGAAAGACCGTGTTTAAGTGTAAAAACCTGAAAAGGACGACAGCCTGTTTGACTTTAAAGGATTCAAAAAGATTCAGAAGAAGAAGAAGAAAAAGAAGACCTGTGCTCTGAGTCCTGGTTCCTAAATGAGAGAAGTGACCCAGAAGTAGCTGTGTGGTGACCAAATGAAACAAATACTAAGAAAAGCAGCTTCATTGCTTCCTTTATTACCTCCTTTAGCAGAGGATGCACTGGATCATCTTTAATTGAAGGAGAGGAAACGATGCATCATCTCAATGTTCATGAACACACTTATCAAAATTGAGAAAGTGGTGCAGATCAGCTAAATGTTAAAAGTAAGTACATGTTCTATTGCATACCATAACCTACTGATGTACTTTGAGTTTTTAAAAACATCCTTTTAAATGCACTGGTGAACTATGACTGTGTCGCTGCTGTAATAAAAATCTGCTGCTTGTCAAAAAGTCGTATGAAGTCTTGCATGTTCTTGCATGAAGAATGCACGCTCTCAAGATAATGAGCTTGATCAAAATGTGTTTAATTTTCTTTAAAACTCAGTTTGCATTGGTAACGTCCATTGCTGTATTGCTGGGATTGTGATGGATGGATGAAGGGAATTTTATTTGGGTCCTTTCCAAGGAGCTGGAAAGGAGTTGCGCTCCTCAGCAGGAAAATAAATTTTATTCCACTTTATTGGCTAAGCAGGTCAAATTAGTGTGATTGCAGGGTGATCTACTAATAGCGTGCTACTTACAAAGATGCAGCCAGTTCATTTTGATAATAACTACCATTCTGCCAAGAGCAGCGCAACTTAGCGGCTCAAAAACCAGCAGTCCTGATGAGGAAGCATGTAATCTGCTAACCTAAATAATACAGTCTGAGCACGGGTCTTAAGTATGCGTTTCTCACTGATAACGGCACGGCAATTCAGATTACTGAGAGGAGGCAAAAGGAGAATCAATATGTTTTTGATACAAGGGTTAATTCTTCTGATAGAAATTGATGTTGCCTGTTTGTGGTGCTGCAGGTTGAGAGTCAGCTGGAGACGTGAGTTGTTATAAAGTATTCCAGTGTATAGACCTGAAATCTGTGCGTAACAGCGTGTAATCTGTGTGATGTGTAGAAGAAGACCAAATATTATCTGTCATCAGATCCAGAGCCCTCCATTTGTTAATGAAGATAGTGTTAAAGTACCATATACAGAAATGTGTGCATTGCTTTTTTTTGGTACCTTTATTATTCAGGAGCAGAATTATTTAGGGCTTGGCTCTAAACATTCAGGGTGAGGACCGGCCGTAAAAGTCCAGCCTTTGTAATAAAGATGTTTTTCATTAGTTTTTCTCGCCTATTTGGCCATCTTCTCAACATTGTTACTGCAAGTGCGGCCCGATACTCTGTGCACCACATTTTAAATCCTCACCAATTCTCCTACACACCTGTCATTGAGCCTTTACTTGATCTCATGATGTTTTTAGATGAGGTCAAGAAAAAGCTGCCAGGAAAAGAAGGTAATATTTCAGATTTTAATACTAGAATTAGGAGCCTGCTGAGTCAGCCACGTGACGGTGATAGTGGATTGAAATTTGCTCTGAAAACTAAGCATTTGCTCTTATAAACTGCAGTATGATCTCTGTTCTATTATAAAACACCTCTAGTAATTGCAATTCATATCTAACGGGAAAAGCACTGAAAGCAAAACACTTTCATCATGGTCGTGTTTAGTTAGATTAAATCTGTTTGATTCTTGCCGACTTTGATCTGCTAGCAGAATAAATGTTTGGGAAATATCACAAGTACATTGTACTGTTACAGCCCTGAAATAAAAAATATGGTACTCATACAGGGATTGGGGTACTGAGGATTAATGGGGAAGGTTAAAACTGTGAAGCTATGATCTTCAGTTTTTGTGTCTGCTGAGTTTTCACACTGCTTAAAAAATATGTGATTCTCTCTCAGGCATCCCCTTGTGTTACAGTATGCACTGTATGGCCTATTTTATAATGAGTACTCTTGATAACTCAGCTCCATCTCTCTAAAAATACAAGTATGGAAAACAAAAAAGACAAAAAAAAAATCAAGGTTATCCAACACAGCTGGTATAAAATATTGAACATATCAAAATAAGACTAAGTAATGCTGAAATGATTGCAGTGCTTTGTTTCTTGAACCCAAAGAGAGGTCAGTGAAAATGGTTTGCTTAGTGCTTCTGTGTAGATAGATGTACATTTTATATATATTTTATGATAAAAACTAGACGATTCTTATAATACCACAACAGCAGCAGGGTCACACAATTCCAGGCTACAAACACGGGCTGTAATTGAGGATGCAACTAAATGGAGAAGAAATTAGAGCTGGTGGCTAGGCAACAGCAAAAGGAAGGAAGTGCAACAGAATGAACAGCCTGAGCAGAAGCAGTCCGTGAAAGTATCGTGCAGTCAGTGGTCCATAGAACTGCAGTCGAAGAGAAGTTGTCAAAGTCAAGTGAAGTGCATCATGCACAGTGCATGAAAAGAAACGCATAAACAATGGGAGGGCTATGTGACAGCCAGTGGCACCAGATTCATTTCAGATGTGGGGGACTAGTAAAAAGTCAGCCAATAAAATTGATTTAAAACTATTGCAGCATGTCAGCTGTCCCCTCTCATCCGAAAAATGGTTGGGGGAGAAAGTAACTGTGGATGGTTCTACGTGAGAGAATGCAAAAATCCATGGGACTCCTAAAGTTTTGCTCAGTTTCAGTTAGCATCCATTCATCCATAATCTCCACTTAATTCAGGGTGGTTGGAAGGCAGGGTAGACCCCGGACATGTCACTAATCTGTCACAGGGCTAACACAGACAACCAATTTAGGATCATCAAATAACCTAACCCCACTTCGTTCTGTGGGAGGAAGCTGGAATATCCAGGGGGAGCCCACAGAGACGTGAGGAGAACACTGAAACCTGGAACATGGTGGATTTGAACCTAGGACCTTGTTACTGTGAGACAGCATCATGTCCAATGAGTTTGCTCTGCCTTGTTCTTTACTCTTCCCCTCTATTGAGTGTGTGTTACTCACTGATGAAGTTTGTTTGGCCTGTGTAGATCGTGTACTGCAGCTCATAGGAGGTGACGCTGAACTCGTCCTCAGACGTCCAGTGAACAGTGATGGTGTCGTGGGAGGCGGTGCACAGCTCGTCTCTTATAGATGGAGGGTTGGGAGCTATGTGTGGAGGAAACAAGAACACGATCAAATAAAATAAATGTTAGAAAGCGTCATCAAGTCATTTTGTCTTAATTCTCAGAAATATAATACGTCTCAACAGCTGCATAAACTTTTTACTACTTGAATTTGACACTAAGTGGACACGAGGTAATTGTCTTTCTAAAGGGGAGTTTTGTGTGTTCATAACGTCTTTCAGACATTCGTTTTCATTTATCTGAGGGCATATGAATGTGTTGGCTTTGTGTCAGAATGAAAACCCCGGTCACTTTTGTAAAGATCGTGATCACACCCTTTCTTGGTCTGACCTATTAATATTTAGGCAGCCCATTCAACGTGGAGAAGTCTGAATAGCATGGAGCCATATAGCACACAAACGAACACAACTTCTGATCAGGTGTGAGCCTGTGTTTTGTTTTGGCCAATGAAGACTTTAATTAAAGAGAGGGTGTTGACATCCAAAAACAGATGGCATATGAGATCAGGGTTCACAAAGATCAAAGTACAAGATAACAATGTATGAGGAAATAGAGCAGAGTTAGAAAAGCTTCCTTTGTGCTTTTTTGTCCAACACAATCTTAGATCATTTATACTTTGTAACTGTCATAGAAAGCATGAGCATTTGTTGAGTTAATCTGCTGCTCCTTAAGGCCAGATGACTTTTCTGTCTGAAAGGAAGACAGCTGAGGTGCCACGAAAAGCAATAAAGTCAACAGAGGTTAAGGTTTTGAAAGAACCATAAAATAACATTACTCTCTTCCCTCAGGAAAAGATAGGTTTGTGTATTTTGGTTTCAGTTGCCGTCCAAATGTGAAAATCAAAGTCTGATAACTCGCATTTGTGAGTTACAGAATGTCAAACAGGACAAACGTGTGTCTTTATCCTGTCTTCCTCCCCTCACCCCTAACCAGTCACGCCAGATTGCTGCCCCTACCTGAGCGTGGCTCTGCAGGAGGTTTCTTCCTGTTAAAAGGGAGTTTTTCCTTCCTAATTTCACCAAAGCACTTGCTTATGGGGGGGGGGGGGGGGGGGGGGGGGTCATGTGATTGTTTGGGTTTTTGCTGTTTTCTTTGTATTGTATTTCTTTGTAGGGTCTTTACCTTACAATGTAAAGTACCTTGAGGTGACTGCTGTTTTGATTTGGAACTATATAAATAAAATTGAATTGAATAAGTCAGCAAAGTTGTGTTTTCCATGTCTGAAAAGGGCTTATGTGACAAGGCTGGATAGTTTTCTTAACTTATAGAGAACAGTTTTGTTCTTTGAAACAGTGAATCAAAAAAACAAAAACAAAAACAAAACCAAGACAGCAGCAGGACGACTGTTAACATATCTACTGCAGATTTGACAGGATGTGAATTTACCTGTTAGGTAATCTAGTCCTTCCAGAATCTTCTTCTCTCGGGAGAAGTCAAGAGCAAAGTTGTCAAACGCCTCGTTCAAGTTGACATCTGGGATGAGCACCTGCGAGGAGGCCGTGGCCATTGCAACCCTTTTGAGTTGTCAGGACACGGGGGCGAGCAAAGTAAATGGTAGAGAAGGAGGGATGAGAGGTCCGATGAGGTGACGAGGAAAAGAGGGATGGAGCAGGAAAAGATGGGAGGTGATGAAGAGATGGAAAAATAAGAGCAGAGAAGTGAGGTGAGATGGCAAGAGGAGAGAGGTGGTAGACATTATTAGTGACACGGAAAGGGCAAGAGAGGGGAAAAAATTTAAAAGAATACAAACATGAAATTCATAGTCTCAGAATAAATGTCTACATCCAATCCAACTCAGAATGTCTGCCTTGGTGTTGTCAAAACACACTCAAAGCAGACATGCACTGACAGACTTACTCTACAGTCTCTACAGCTTTGTGGAAACTTGTGCCTACTTCTGCTTTGAGCATCAGTGAGCTGTCTGTGGCAGGAGCCAGCCAGAACCACAGTGCTGGCAGGGTTACACAGCAGTGCAGAGTGGAGGACAGATCAGCACTAGTCCTTAAGACTTCAGTTCCTCAGTAAAGAGAAACCAGTCAGTCAATAAAGCGCACGGCCAGGTGGTTGAAAGAAAAGTGGAGCCGAGGCCAAATAAAAGATAGTGTGCTAGCCGTGGCTTTTGCAAAGGTCTTTGTGAAAGAGACAGAGCAAAATATCTACAGGAGGAGGACGACGAAGGAATGAGGGTATTACAGAAGTGCGAGGGTTGAAAGGAAAACTGCAGAGCTGGCCCTTAAATGATAGATGATTTTCAACAGAGGCCTGACATTGATCGCAAGAGCCAAAGACTTTTGATAAAATGCTGATTTCACCAGCAGCCCCTTCAAGTGGATTTCACAGAGGTAAAAATCGAAAACTCATTGTAGGGCAGAGGTTTGGATTTAAAGAGTCAAAGACTTATTGCCAAATACTCTGACAACTATCATGCAGCCTGCTACAAGATGACACAACTCCACACGGAAAAAGCGAGACAAAAACCCCAGTCAGGATGACTTGTCAAAAGCCTCCCACTTGTCTGGACTATTAATAGCTATAATGAAGTGAAATTAGCATATTGTTGCAACAGGCAGGTGGTATAAGTCGGTGCGCCGCTCCACCTACCTTTCGGCGACATTTCTGGCAGTCTGAAGGAAGCGGGCGTGGTCGTTCTCCTTCAAGCTCTGCTCAGCCTGTGTGATCAGGGCACTGGAGCGCTCCAAACACTGGCGACAATTTGCAATCTGCTGAGCCAACTTGCGCAGTTTCATCACCTGGAACAAACAAAGCACACGTTGCCACGTTACGACACACGCGGTTCGTTTTCATTTGCACACTGTGAGCCTTGAAGGAATACATCGCCCTTCTCGATAACTCGACTTTTAAATTTTTCATTTAGCTAAGAGAACACAGACGACATTGCCAGCACCTGGTCTAGTAAAACATTTGACATTCTTTTACTATGCGGGAATCTTGACACGTACTCTATGTCTCTAATCCCCATCTCCAAAACTTAGACAAAAGTAGTTCACTGGTGTTATTGATCTTCTATGTTCATCTTCTGGGACTGAAAATAACTTTCTATTTGCTCAGGGCAACTTGTGTGCCTTCCACTGCAAAAATTCAGGAAAAAAGGATCTCAAAACTCTCTCTATATCCAAAAAAAAAGAAAAAAAGAGAAAAAAAGAGCCCTCCTCTGCACTCCAATAATTTCAGTTTGGTGGATTTTTTTAATTCATTTTGACAGTAACTAAAAAAAGCCAATTGTGCTTTGCTTCCCACATCGGCACACATTATTGACACAAAGACAGCACTCTCTCAGATGATTTTTGCTCGGTGAACTTTCCATATTGCAGAGTTAACTGAAGTTTTATAACCAAAGAAAAACAGACGCAGATATTCAAACACATACGACCGAGCGTGATCAAATGTTATATCCACAGAAGAATCTGAACGTGCAGAAGCAATTAGCAGATGACATTAGAGTTTATGATTAAGGATGTTTATCTACTCACAAAAAACAATAAAACTATGGAGTCCACACAGAAACGCAGTCATAGACACAGTTATCTGAGACATGCACCAACAGGAAAAAGGAGAAAAAGAAGCAGAGGGCCTGAGTTTAAGTGAGCCCATTGGATCTATGCTCACATTGACCTTAATATCATGTTGCACAATCAAAGGGCAGATAGTTCTAGGTCACTGGATGAGGGGCACCAGTCTGTGCATACATACCCATGTTTAAAAACTGTGAAACGAGGCCTGACAGGAAATGGATGAGACACTACTGGCTGTAAAAGTCACAGTTCTTTCCCTCCTACCTTACCAAACAAAAGAGACATCGAGCTTGTCTTTTAAGCACCTTGTAAGCGCATCTACTGTGCATTCACGTGGTGCGCATGATTCAAATGTAGCAGCGCAGACAAACAGGAAACTGCTGATTTTGGACCGCATAATAATTTGCTTCATTTTCATCACAAAGCATCATGCTGTGCGAATCAAGTCAGGTCACGTTGTCGGGTCAGGATTCAGACACAAGCACGGTTTGTAAAGTCCTTTTCACTGTAATTTGTTAGCGTGTGTGCTTTAATGTCATTTCCCACCGAGCAAAAGGAAAACCACGATGAGCAAATTTGAAATGAAAGTAATCTGTTTATCTTTATTGCTGCTCATATCCTGATCCTGGAAATGAACTTAGTTTGATGTAAAAAACCAAAACAAACCAAAATAAAGGGTCTTTGTGAGCGCTGAGACTGCCAGCAAGAGGCAACTGTAGAATTCAATACCGGCTTTAGCGTGGAGTGTTGTTAAATGATTAAATAAATCATCTGTGAATCTAAAGGCAAAGAATGAAGTTAAGTCTCTTAATGCACTGAACGCATCATAATTTCAGGCTAAGGCTAATTTGAATCTCTAACACTATCCATCCATCCATCCATTCGCTTCCGCTTATCCTTTTCAGGGTCGCGGGGGACGCTGGGCGAAAGGCGGGGTACACCCTGGACAGGTCGCCAGTCTGTCGCAGGGCTAACATATAGGGACAGACAACCATTCACACTCACATTCACTCCTAGTGACAATTTGGATTAATCAATTAACCTATCCCCACAAGCTGCATGTCTTTGGACGGTGGGAGGAAGCCGGAGTACCCGGAGAGAACCCACGCAAACACGGGGAGAACATGCAAACTCCACACAGAAAGACCCCGGCCTGATGGTGGAATTGAACTCAGGACCTTCTTGCTGTGCGGCAACAGTGCTAACCACCGTGCCACCGTGCTGCTCTCTAACACTAAACAAAACTAAAGTTCACATGGCTAAAAGGTCACCATCAAAAGTTTTCATGGAATCTAAAGTCCACTTTCCTTCTCGCTGCTGGAAAAGCTGCTGCTGCTGCTTTAGAAGTCTCGTTAAGCTGGAGTCTTAATGGAGTTTTCAACTGACATCTCAGCTGCACTTGCACTAAGTCCGCCATAATCTCTTGTCACTAAAAATGACATTTGAGCAGGTTGTTGACTGCAAAGAGAGGAGAAGCGAGAGGAGGTTTAAAGGATGAATTGTTATTTGGCAACATAGGCCGCAAACAACAATTTTAGAGATGATTACTTCTCTCCTGCAAAATAATGGACAATATGGCACGGTCTGAGTGTGTGTTCGTGTGTGTGTCTCTTACTTTGTGCGAAGCCTACAGTTCGTGATTTAAAGCTGAAATTGAACCTTCTAATATAATTTTAATACTTATGAGGTGATGCTACAATATTTAAAGTTGGTTTTTTTTATCATTTTACTGAGTCAAAACTTTTTCAGAGGCTGAATTTTCTTCAAGTGCAATCATAGATATGAAAACAAAGCAATGTGTTATTAATGGCTTATAAAAATAATATGTTTTCTCTCACTCCAGTTGATTGAAAAACATATTTTTGTAGCTAACATTTAGCAGTGGCATAATGGTTAAATTACTAAATAGTCTTCTGTAGGTATTTTTGCAGCTACAGCTATAATCCCCTGGTGGCCATTAAAACAAATTCATCAGTCTTTCATACTGTTTATCATTGAAAGTAGATGAAACCAGGATATGACTGCATACAAAAAGACAGAATCTCAACAACAGATAAATCCAGCTGATGCTGTGGGAATATATGTCATCTGTAAGTCATGGTAGCATGAAGCGCTATTTTACAAGTAATGACCAGCCATCAGTCACTAGATTTTGGATGTGGATCCTTAAAGTTTTACAGCCTTGATTTGCTTTTAAAGAAATAGAATAAACAAAACCGCAGCACTGAAAACAGGCCAAAGCCAAAGGCTTTGTAAGGTCGACCATCCATCCTGACCTGGCTCTGAGAGACAAATGTTATATTTGCACATTCACAAGAGGCACTTGTCACATAAACACAGAGACAGGTTGTTTAAGTGGTGCCAACAACAGTAATGCTGTTGTTTTTATGATGAGTCCCTACCAGGCATAAGCTTTTAAAATGAAGTTCAAATGACCCATGAGATCGTTAAAAAAAAATTGTGTTAAAAAAAAGCTAGTATGTAACACTAAAAGAGTTTTGCATTGTTAATCCTTGGAGTTTGAACAGTTTTCAAGAAAAGATAACGGAAAAGCGGCAGAATAGATGCTTGGAAGACAGGAAGTCATATGACAAAAACACACAAACAGAAACCCGGCCGTGGGAATAGTCTGGTTTTTTTGTTGTTTTTTATTATGTGCGTGTGTGTGAGCTGGGAGAGATTAAGTATGACTGCTGAGTCTCCTCTGCAAGATACAGACCTCATTATGAAGAAGTAAGAGAGAGAATGGGAGCACCTTGCTCACCATGATCAAGCCTGTATAATCCGGTTATTCTGTTGCAGAGTCACCTCTGAACACTTTCCTTTATGAGACTGTCCTCAACAGGAAGCCATCTCAGTACTTTGCTCATAAAATGTATAATATGAGCCGTGTTTTTGTAGCAATGTCGCTGTGTAAAATATCAATATTCATCTTATCCTTTGCTCTCTTCTACACATTTGAATTAGTCAAGGCGCATTTGATTCATCTTCCTTGACCTTTCAAAGTGATGCATACGGGCTTCCTACATTTGACCGCTGTACCTTCAGCTGGAGAGCCTTTTACAGGCACAGACTCTCAGGAGAACAAACCTTGCTCTTTGTCTGCATTCATTGTCGACACACTCCTCTGTCTCACACACACACAAACCTATTTTAGTCTTTGTGTTAACTGTTGGGAAATATCTATATGAAGCTCCTCTGCCACCTTGGATCCTTCACAAGCACTTAAAATTTCACCTCTGGAAGGGTTATTCATGGTCAGAGACGGGACAACCACCCATATACACATGGGCATGAGTACACACACACACATGCACACACACGCACACACAGAGCCAAATGTGTATCTGTCTGTGCAGTTAGTTGTGGACTTTCTAAAACAGCAGCAGGAGGTTCAGAACAGTCTTTCCTGCCATTTTAAATTCTTTCCTCACGCATTCATGTTGACTGCCTAAATATGAGGAGAGACTGTTATTGCTCTCTTTTTTTTTTATTCTCCGTGCTTTTCATTTCTCGTAAAGCCTGCATGTGGTGTATATTTGGGTAAACAAGCAGACAACCACACAAATATATTCTGTCCACGGCATCGTTGCTTTCATATTCATTCGCTTCTGCAAAGTGATGGTGGGTCGGGCTTATTGCCTTACTTTAGATGGCAAGGCGACACAAGTTTTTGAAATATGAACTGCTGAAAACTGAATGAAACGATGTAATATGAATTCACCGAAGTCATCATCTCTCTCTTCTAAGTGCCAGTAATCACTGTTTTTGTTTATGCACGCTGAATAAAAATGCGTCTAATCTTGGACTGATTCAGTTAATGACACACGCAGAAGATCGTCCATCTATAACTCGTTTTGGTTGTACGGTACACTTAAGCTGGGCATACACTGTGCGATTTTTTTCAGTCGTGTTATTCAGCTTCTGCTCAAACTGTACGATTGACTTGCAGGGGTTAGAAGTTCGTAGGTCACGATGCAGGGTCTCACACTATACGGCCCGATGCTCTGATGCGACCCGAGTGCTCAAACTGTGCGTCCATAAAAATGAAGGTAATCTGTCGCTCGCTCTCCCTCTCTGTCTTTCACTCACACAGACACACCACCGCCATCAACTTTGCTAAATTGCTAATGAAAAACACTGATCAGCCAGCTGTGATTGAGCAGCAGTGTAAATCCAACTATTTTTACGGTTGTTGTGGTTGTGATGATTTTGTGAGGCCACATGGAAAAGGCTCGGATGAGCTATCCAAAGCTCATCCGAGCTTTCCAAAATTCTACAAGTGCCTCCATCGCTTGCGTCCAGATCACATGCTGTACTGCCGTACTACTCCGTCTTTTTCACTGACGTTTATGTGTTTGCACATGCGCAGTGTGAGAAGCTGCGGTGACACCCTCACGACGGTCGTGACTACCAAGCGATTGATGATCGGGAGCTGGTCGTGAGGTGTTAATCGCTTCTCGTTACCCCACGTATACTACACGATGCACGACGCACGATGAAGGCCAAAATCGGGCCGATCACCAAAACGGTTGCACGACTGAAAAATCGGCTCAAAATGGGCCAAAAATCGCACAGTGTAAGCCCAGCTTTAGAGATACGCTTATACACCGCCTGGGGTTCCTTAACAACTCCCAGCAACATCATTTACAGCAAAAGATCTTGTTTAGTTTTTTTTTATTAGGAAAATATACATTCTGCCTGCCTCAGCAGACATTCAGTTAATTAACTATAGATCTTATCTCAGGAGTTTAAACAATATTCAGCTTTACACTCAACAGTAACTAAAAATACAACATCTGGATGATAATTTTGCTCTGACTGATTAAATCTATTGGGACCTGTTGTGGTCATTTACATTTCTTTTCAATTCTTGGACTCTGCAACTGTGGCTATGCATGATTCACAGTTCAAAATAATCCATATTTATCTTAAGTTATCTTATACTAGGCCTTGGTGCAGCCCCTCAGTTCCTCGAGTGTCTCCCTTTAATGTCACAAGCCCTTTAAACTCTTGTGATTTCTTGTGACTGTGTGCAGTGAACTTGCAGTCTCGTTAACTCTGAAGTGAAGAGTCAGGGTTAGCTTATTAAATACATTTTGGAAAGCCAGAAATCTGTTGCTGTCTACATATACTGAAATTCATATTAACTACTTACACTCGTAGTCCAGTCAGAACCTCATAGATGTAAAACATATATTGAAAATTTACTCTAAATAAGTGAATACTGTAGTTCTTTCAGGACAGCAGTTTAACTGCAAAATGGGATAGATGCTCAGGAATCTTGTTATTATATATAACCAGATTACAGTCACTTGGCAACCAGTTGAGTCAAGTTCCCTATCGTAAAGAGACACATTCCAGGATGAGTTACGCTCATTGGCACAGACTGACTCAGACTGATTACAATATCATGGCAACCTCTCTGAATTTCTAAATTAGACAGCGATTATTTGCAAACCTTGACCAATCTGAGAGTAACTGCAGTCAGTCTAAGTTGGGCCGTGAGTGTTTGGAGGCAGGTTGCCTTTCTTGAGGTGACCTGGGCAATTGCTTTGTGATGAAACGTGGTCGCCAAGAGATTGAAGGTATTGCACGCTCATCCGCTGGTAACTTCAACTACTTGCATTCAGGAAAAAAAATTCCAATAGTTGATTATGTTAATTTGGCTACGCCTAGAAATTCTGTCCATAAAAATTATGAACAGAATCGGTGACAAAGGGCAGCCGCGGCGTAGCCCATCACCCACCAGGATCGAGTCCGACTTATTGCCGGCTGTACGGACCAAGCTCTTGCAACGGTCGTATAAGGACTGAATGGCCTGTAGCATGTTCATCTGGATTTAGCATTTTCAGTGGGAGAAATGTTTTGTCACTCATCCAAGTGACTTCCTTCCTTCATGATTTCTTCAGATAAGTGAAGAAGTCATTTGGATGAGTGACTTTTTATTTATTTTTTATTAACTTACAGGGAACCATAGCCAATATTGTTGTCTGTTAGCTTTGTTTTTTTGTGTCTTAAAGGTTAAAAAAAAATCAGTCAGTGCCACATTTGTGATTGTACCTGAATTTGAATATTTCAGACTGCACTTAAAAGACGCTTAAAAAAATTTAGTTGAATATAATACTTTACCTTGGATTCTTTGATCTTCACGGCGATGACCTGTTTTCTCTGGCGAATGATCTCCACCAGCTCATCACACTCCTCTACCAGCTTAGCTTCATGCATGGCTGTGTTCACCTGAAGAGAAGCAAACATTAAACTTAAGAAACCCTCACAGCCTCACTTTAAAGTCAAACTGTATATTCACTGACTTGCTCAGGTTCAATGTATCTTATATTTTGCTTTTGGTGTCTGATATCAAAAATGTGTCTGCACATTTTTTTTTCTTCCTCGTTCACATGCTCTCGTTGGGAACTTTGTAAGACTTTCGGAGTGGCAGGAAGGATCATTTGCATCATCGCATACAGAGCACGTCCTATAGTTTTCCATTTCATTAAGAATTCTGCACACCAGGAAAAGTGCCTTAAGCAACGTGCACCTGGATTAAAAATAACTTGTGAAGAACAAAACAAGGAAAAGTGATTTCCAACTCATCAGCTGTCACTGGGAAGATCATAAATCAATATATTAGGTACACGAATCCAAGGTTAAACAAAACAATTCATAAATACACATAAATATGGCAAACTAATTGGTCAGCCAATTAGGGGGCATTGCAGGTAGTGAGAAACCGACATTTTAATGTACACTGTAGATGGAATTTATTATTCATTCGCCAAAAATGTTCTTGTCCTTGCTGGAGCCCATCTCTCCTAATAAAAAGGGTTACTGTGCAGTTGGATTTGAAACACTGTTTTATACTTGTATGCAGCATGAATTTATTACAAAAATGGTGCATTAAATGATTAGAGTTACACTATTTAAAAAAACATGTTTACTTAACTCAGAAAAAGCCAAGGTGGATTATTTGAAAACTCAAAGGCACCCAGAAAAGGTCTGTGGAGACAATAATTAAATCACTCATAGAAAATGCTCACACCAAGCCAATTTAATAGATTCTGTGATTGTTTCAGGACCAAAGTCACCAAGGCAACTCTTCATCAGTTCACCATTTCACGCCAGCACTAAATGAACATCCATCTTCAAATTTGTGTGTGTGGGTGGGTGAGGGTTTTTTTTTGGAGACACTAAGGGTGTTTGCTGAATTTCAACAATGAACCACTATTAAGCAGTTTGCTCATTATGAAATATGCATACAATTACTGCAAAAGCTTTAGAACCACTTAGGGCAGGGTTTTAGATCATAAAAAAAGATACTCCAACTTCACTGTTGAACCAAAAAAGAGAAGAGAAAATCTAAATGGCAATTTGTCAAGTGAGTGGGTTGTGATTTCTGATTCATGAGCAAACAAAGGTACAAAAAAAGAGACAGAAATGACATCTATACTTCCAACCTTAACTGTGTCAGGGTTTCTGGGTCGTTGACCCAGTATTTTCAGTTCACGTTCACTGTTTATCTACTGCCTGTTCCACTTCCTGTTTTATTGTGTTAGCCTTGGTCTGTGTGCATTATGTTCAGTCCTCTTCCCATTTATCATTAGTTCATTATGTTCAGCTGTTCACTCACCTGTCTCCAATCGTTGTCATTGTTAGTCATGTATTTAAGCCCTCTCTTCCCTTCAGCCCTTGTCGTGTCATTGATGTTATGTTGTCGTTTCCGCCTGCGTTCAGTCAGCTAGCCATTCAGTCTTTCAGTCAGTCAGTCAGTCCTTCATTCATTCATTCAGTCAGTCAGTCAGTCAGTCGTCCAGCCAGCCAGCCCTTTCCTACTCCTGTTCTGTTTGTTCACTCCATCGACAATAAACACCAACCTTCACCTACCTACCTGTGAGTCCAGCATTTGGGTCCTCCTTCTCTCATCCACGACACTAATCCTGACAGACTGGTTTTAGGTCTGGGCGTACCTTACTTGCTTCATCTGCTCTAATAGTCATATTTTTTTTTAAATAATTTTTATGTTTCATACAGTAACATAAAGATGCACAAAGCTCATATCTGTTATCTAAGATCATGTTGTAACAGAAATGTAATTGGCTGTATTTACACCTGTGCAGAGGTTTACTGTAAGTGCAGCCTCTATATCTCGATGAGTGATTTTGTCTGTAGGAGTCCCTTCAAACCATTACAGAAATTACAAATATACTCCAGAATAAAAAGAAATAAAACTAACCCAGCAGGGTGACAGTGGGAATTTTTCACCCAAACTGGAAACTTCAGAGTTATTGAGAAAATTCAGAGAAGAGGCTAGAAATTTCACTTCAAATAAGACGTTTTCAGAGGCCAGAAACATTTACAGAGAACAGTGTTCCTTGAGCTGCTTCGCTAGCTGCTGTAGCGTTTGTTGTCACAAAAAGCTACAGGTGAGTGTTTCCTGCAGGGAAGGGACTGTGGCAAGAGCACTTTTGTTCTTGGCTGGCAACCATAACACAGTAGTACACAAGGAGATGCACTGCGAGGAGACCTCTTTTACTGTGGCACACGCAATCTTACAGAGGTGCAATGATGACATTTAAATTAAAGATCACAGCAGTGATAACAAAATACAGCAGAGCAGAATTTACAAAGATAAATGCTCATGTGGGATAGAGTAGATTTAAATGAGTAGATTTTTTTTTACATACAAACAAAAAAAATCACCTTGATTAAGAAGTGTTTTCTTAATGTTATTAAAAATATACAGAATGACGTAGATGCATATTATGATCTCTTACTTATCCACCGATCGACTGATATGATCAAAGGAATTCATTGGACTGTGTGTTTCTAAACTGTTCAATAACAGAAAATAATCCATATATATATATTTAGAGATGTCAACAGTACCAACGCATACAGTACCTTTTCACACCAAATTGTGAGAAAGCAACATTACTAGGTAATTTTTTTAGTTCTGTAGATAGTATAGACAGGTGTGCCGTGGAAGATTATCTGGTTCAATCTGATTAGTGATCGGCGTGAGTAACGGGCAGAACAATTACATTCTCTTCCACTAGAGGGCAGTGCAACTACCTGCTCTAATTAAAAGGGTTGCCAATGCCAACTGCCAGTAAGACAGAAGAAATTACATTTGGTGGTGCGCCATGTGACTTTTCTAATATGAAATATGTGTCTTGGTTCAGGGTTGGGAAGCACTGACTACCCAGTCTTTATGAAGAACTTCGAGAGGTCAGTAAAGGTTCTGATTCAATAACAATTAAATATTAAAGAGTTTCCCTCAATGTTAACCTGGCTGGTACACATGTTAACCTTAACATGAGTAGGGGGACAGTCAGTTAGACGTAACTGTTTATCTACTATCACTCACCCCAATTAGCTATTTCTCAAATTATTATTAAGACTATAAAAACAATTTTACTATTGATGAAGATTAAGATGATTAATTTATTGATAGAAGTAGCTGCTCAAAAGTTTCCTCAAATATTTTAAGGGCACATTGCACACAATGCTGAGATGTGCCAAGTTTTTGGCTAAGGTCTCTTTTCGAATTCCCTTTTCATTGCAAAAGTACTCATTATATCCGTCAAACTATGCCCTATTTGTCATTTCTAGTAAGTTTTGTACTAAAAATGTCAAATCTGTTATGTGTAGACGCAGAATTGGTTTATCCCTTGAGTTGGGTGCACACAGAGAAGATTTTTCCTGCACAACTATTGCTCAAAACCACATAAATCTTTTTTTTACAAAAAAATCTGGCTTCTTGCAAGAAAACTATAAAGAAATGCAAGGTGGTTTAAGACTTGCACAGTACTGGATCCTCTTAAGGATGGCTTTGAGCCAAAGTAGGCCCTCACATGGTGAGAAAATCACAGGGGCACACAAACACAAACAACACAGTTCTGCAAAAAGCCATTTTATGACTGCAGCTTCGTAATTAAGCAGGATGAATGCAGCTATCCTGGGTCACTGTGAATTACGACTGGGCTACTTAGCAGCGTAGTTATGGAAAATTGTTCCCTCCTCGTTCCCCCTTCTCTCCGTCTCTCTCTCTCTCTCTCTCTTTTAACCTCACTCAAATTAGGCTTTATTAGACTCCTCTGCAGGTATACTAAAAAGCACTGTGCCAACTTCAAGTTAAGGTCTGTTATTGGAAGAATAACCACATATAGCAAGTGTTAATAAACCTTTCACCTGCTCCTGCTCTTAAAATATTTATGAAAACTAGTCAGGGTGCTAAAATTCAATAAAAATATCTCACTTTCAAATTTCTTAAAAACGTTTGGTTGATGATAATTATGTTTAACACATGTTCTAATTTGCTCTATTTAATCTGTCTTTGGGAAATTATTAAACTCTCCAACATCGGATAAATAAAAGTATTTGAATACAATATATTAGGCAAACTAAATGGAATTATGATTTATAAGGATTATTACTTTAGTCAATAGTAATATAATAATAATGTTAATATAGAATATCCTCCTCATTAATGCAGCTATGACTTAACCACATCCTTTTCAGTGCTTTCTACTAATTATTAAAAGTATATCTGACAAGCATGTTTGTGTATGCTATTATAATGACATTATTTTAGCAAAAGCAAATGCAGATATCAGCTGAGTAATGTTACAGTTGGGTACAGCTGGCAGCACATATTTCTCTCTAATAAGCTACCACAGTTCTCATCAAGTTGACATCCTATAGCCTGTACTGAACCACAGCAAATAAACACCATATCTGCATAGCTGATCTACTGCTGGTAATCTTCCTCAGATAAATCAAGACATCCAGCACAGAATTGTGCTGAGAAATGGAGAGTAAGACGGAAGAAAATAAATGCAGTTCCAACAGTATGGGATGTTGAAATCCACTGTCCCACATTATTACAAAATGTTCTGGATTGTGGCTCACTTGTCCCCTTTCCTCACATATCACCGATCGATGTAATAGGCACAAGTCCCAATGAGAGGTTCATTTATTTATTTATCATTTTAGATGTAGCTGATTCAAAGTATTTCTTGAAGCAAGTATTGCTACTCAGCAACCATCTGGTAGTTATATCGAATTAACAAGACTTACCTCCAAAAAAGAAAAGATAAGCGATACTTTAATGGGACATAATGCATGTATAAAATCACCAGGGAAATCTAATTAAAGTTAGCGTAAGTTTGTCGACTTTATTTCTACTACACACGCAAAAGGTTTTAATATGTTACAACTTCATTCAAAGCTCAGGTTAT